AGAGAGAGAGAGAGAGAGAGAGAGAGAGAGAGAAACAAATGGAGAGAAAGAAAAACAAGGACAGAGACAAAGACAAAGACAGTGAAAACACAAAGACAGGCACGCCTGAATGATTATCTTCTCCATGTGGGAATTCTACCCACAATCTTGCGCAAAGGTCTAAAGTTTGCTTTTAGCAACATGGCATTAATTGCTATTTAAGGCAAGTCTAGAAAAAGGGTCTATTGGTGGCGTTTAATCAGCATCGCGTCTCCACCCCGCCCTCACAATCATAATGATACCAACTTAAGTATCGGTAAGGGTGTGAAGTTCTAAACTACCCTCAGGGGAATCCTTGTTTAATGCGAATAATTACATTTGATATAATATAGGGCGTATCCAAGTTCTGAAGTATGCTCTGTCTGCCTTACTGCTATCTGCATTATTACCTCAGCAGGCGCTTAAAATAACGATAATGTAGAAACACTGTCGGCTTCATGGGAAGCACACAGTGCAAGCTGGGGATTACACCAACTAAAACCACTAATCAACTGACAAGATCTTTTGGTATTTATAACCGGGTAAAGATTCCCACGGGGGTAAAGTGTGGAAACGCCACGTAAGTACCTTTCTCCAAGAGCACAACGTCGGGCCCATGATGGGATTCGAATACACGATCTTACGGTCTAGAGCCCTAGTGCCTAACCACTGGACCACCAAAGTCACCCTGAATCCCCTCCCCCTAACAGCAAAGCAATAATAACATGAAAACGGAAGAACGTATTAAAAACCTTTCTCCGTATGCATTGATGTTTCAGTTTTGAATAAAAATAATTATTACATTCAATTGATTTTCTTTAGTCCTCACATTCACAGATTCTCAAATGTAAAACTCACCCACTTTCAAAGTCGGATGGTCTAATCGAAAAGACTGCCTCGTGTTGCCTTGTGGGATATTCTATAGCTTTCTACATCCAGCCATTTCCCAGACAAACACCAATAGCCTCCTGTGATATTTAGCGATTCTCTAAATAGCTTATAGCGTTAAGGCATTTATTTAGAATAGGAAATGGTGCCTAGAATTCAATCATGATTTAAGATCACTTGTTAGAAATCGTTACTAAATGGTGGCCAATCTATTTTGTATTTGTCGGTTGGTCAATCAGATAACGGTCGACGAAAGATGGATTCTCTCCCATAAAATAATGTGGAGCTGATTTCCCGATTTCGTCCACCC